AAACCTTGCCACGCAAACCCAACACATGTACTAAAAACATTTTTAGAAAATCCTTCATCTTTAAAGTAAAAGGGCAACATGTTGAGAAAAGAATTCTGTTTTCTCAAGAAGTCTTGTGAGCTTGCCTGTGTGGTCCTGACTTCTCTGCAGCTTTTCTCTGAATACAATCTATCTAAAATGACAGACACCCCATCCATGGCCGATGACAGTAATTCCGAAAGGACAGTTGATTATATTAATGGCCTTTCGTCCCTACCCTTCCCCATATATTTATTTTACTGTGTGTATATATATTTGATGGCTTTTTTAGGCTGTACCTTTCCTTGAGGCATCTGTAAAATTTTTGAAGCAATACAGAAGTGATTATTTAAAACAAACAAAATTCCCACACCACCACCTTACAACCAACCTCTCAGTTTGACTCTATCATGTTTTCTGAGTGCTCAGATACTGCAAAAAGACCTCTCTGACCTGGAACACGCTGAGAAAATGCTAAGATTAATTTCCAGAGTCGAATTCCTTGCATGTAAGCATCTGGAGCTTTGGCATTTAGCCTCAGTTAGGCCTCTGCACTCCCTCTGTAATCATAAATGGAAATTCAGAGGCCCTCTTATCCCACCTATCCTCAACATCTATTTGAGGCTGGGATGAATTGCCTTCTGGGTTTAACTGTAATCCCTTGGATAGTGCAGGAGGTTTGATGGAGCCCAGCCAGAGGAACTAGCCTGTGGCTAGCACTGCTGTCTTAGCTAGGACTGGCTCACAGGACGCTGCCTGGGTCACACCTGCAGAGGACCAAATGGCCAAGGTATGCAGAAAATAGGCAACAAATTATGGTTAGGGGTTTTTTTTACTGAAGAGAGTTACCTTTGAGGACCTCTGTTAGTCAAGAGGAAAATTCCATTAAGAGGATTCTTGCATACTGCGGTGATGTTTTAGACTAAATTTTAAAATCTTCATTGTGTCACATGTTCCACATGGAGGCTTGAGTCTTTGGAAGCCCAAAGTTACATGCTAATTTCAGAAACTTCAGATCATCTTATGTCTGCTGTTTCACTGTTGTGAATGTCCTGGCAAAATACCAGCAGTGTGTTTCAGGCTTGTATTTAACGATGTGGAATCATTAGCTATTCTTTTTTCCTGAGTAGTTTGTGCAAAATAATGTGTTTTCTGGCTCTGTGTTCTGTGGAAATCATTCTTTCCTTCCTCCTTGTTGTGTGTTTGTAGGTGAGGCCAAATGGCTTCTGCAGAGTGGGATAGTAATTCTCCTTCCCCATGGCTATGATGGTGCAGGCCCTGAGCACTCGTCCTGCCGGATGGAACGGTTCTTACAGGTACCCCGCCACACCTCTGATTCACATACTCCCCGTCGCAGTGCTGGCAAACAGCTCTGGGAGTCTTGCAGGAAAACATCCCATTCCTGGTGTACCTGCTAGTGACATCAGGAGCTGGAGGCTTACCAGGCTCATGATGAGATAGGAATGGGCTAGGCTGAAGGTGGAGGAAGAAGGGGTACTGTGATGAGAAGGTGCAAGTCTACAAGTAGTGGGGAAGCAGTTTTGGTTTAAATGCTGCTGTAACAGCTCTGGTGCAAGATCGATTGAACCTTGTATTAAATGCGTGCTGTTCCTGTTGCATCTCTGTCACTTGCCCAAGTGGGTGTGTGATAATGTGAAATTTTGTGTGTTGAATTGTCTAATGTGAGATTTGCATAGTGCTTGCAGAGGCCCCTGCCCTCTGCAGACAGCCCTACTGGGACGTGCTTCAGTCCTGCCTGCTGTCTTTTTTTTTTGATTGCTGCTCTTCAGCAACGTCACTGTACCACAGAATGAGTCCAGTAGCAAGACAAAATTGCTGAATTGCAAATAGCAGACCTCTAATGAGCACTTCTTATAGAAAACAATTTGGGGATTGGCATCAGAAACAGCGAGTCCCCCTCTTGAGCAAACCACTCACAGATCTGTCCACTAGGCACAGATGATACAAACAGAACGCTGGGTGCTATTAAATATCAGTTAGTAAATGAAAGCCTTTTCCTCTGAGTAGTGGCTTAAGGAGAGGTTTGCAGTATGTTTAGTATGCCACTCTGATGGGGAGGTCATGGCCTCCCCACTGTTAGAAAAACTGCCATGCCCTGGTTACAGTGTGCTAGAAGGAGACAGTTCAGATATAATCCTACCAGTTAAATACTAAAGCCATTTCTTCTCTGAAGTTGTTCTTCCTTGCAATCAATGTCTGAATTGGGATAGTGGTCTTCTATCTTTATGTGCCTGGATTGTCTCTTGCATATTTGGCTCGCTGCTTGCTTCTTGACAAGGTATTGCTCTGTTCCCTTTATATAGATGTGTGACAGCTCAGAAGAGGGAGTTGATGGGGACCAGGTGAACATGTCAATTGTGCATCCCACCACTCCAGCACAGTATTTCCATTTACTCCGGCGGCAAATGGTCCGAAACTTCAGGAAACCTCTGATCGTTGCCTCTCCCAAAGTGTTACTCAGGCTCCCTGTAAGATGAAAAACTTTCTTTTCCTTTTTCTTTTTTCTTTTTTTTCCCCTTCCTCTTCCATGTTCTCTTCTTTCCCTTTCTCTTTGTTCTTCCTCTGTGTTCTCCTCTCTGTTTTGGGGTCAAATCAATGGGGTTTTGTCTGTTTGGGGCTGGATAGGTTGAGGATTAAAGCTGGAGGTGAGCTAGAAGTAGGGTTGATTCTAGGTCTGGCAGTGTTCTTGAGAATCTTATCCCACCTTTCATTGGTGGGAGTGGGAATGGGAATAGGAGGGAGAGGGAAAACTATCTTTTGAACTTACCAAAACCCTGTCTCGGTATCCTCTCCCCAACTCTGGCCTGAGGGAAAAGGCAGCACAATTTGGTAACTTCCAATTCTCCCCCACATAGGCTGCTGTATCAAGCTTTGAAGAAATGGCTCCAAGGACAACATTCAAGCCTGTCATTGGTGACTCCTCTGTAGATCCTAAAAGGTAGCTCTACTTTCTTAGAGGGAAGTCCTGTCCCTTTCTCCTACCTAACAGCTCAAGTTTGAGGTGATACGAAAGAGGTGACTTTGGGGGAAAAATGCGGTTTTATGGTGGGTGACTTAGTTTTACTTGTTTCTCTCCTTTTCTTCTGCTTACTTGTTGGTAGTTATCATACCTGTTTGCATGACTGCAACGTGTTCAGGCGTTCAGCCCTGGCCCCCACAGGGAGGTTGTGACTGCAGTTACTGATCTGATGGGCGCTGTTCTGCGCCATGCCCATGAGCTAAGTTACTGGGAGCAGCTCTGACACAGAGATGCAGAATTTTTGTTCTGCTGTTGTAACAGCTGAGCTGATAAAGTGAAGTTAGGGCAATAATAAACTCTGTGTGTATCACTCTCCCTTCAGATATAATTTATAGAGAATCCTGTTCACAATTGGCAATTCTGGCCTTCATTTTTTTCTCCCCTAAGGTTCTTTTGTGCTCCTTGTCCCAGTAGTACCTGAGTCTGACAGCATCCCTGCTGTTTGCATCCTCACCCACAATCAAAAGGCTGGAAGTATCTTAGCATCTTGGGTTTTTTAGGTGGGTTGGTGAGGCAGAAGGGGTGAGGTTTCTCTCCTTGCCTTTGCCCAGTAAGGTTAGGCAGCCAAGACCTCTCTGATTGCTGGAGGGTATTGTCTATCTCCAGCAGACAGCTCCTCTTTGGCATGGGAGAAGATTGTCCTCTGGAGGTTCTTCTCTCCCTCTCTGGTTTATTCTCTATGGAGAGCCCATAGATGACTAGCTTTGACTAGGTCTTTAATTTTTAGGTAGTTAAAGCTAAGAGAGTTGAATCCCATTGTAAGGTAACTTTCCCAGAACTACCAAAGAAGCAGGACCTCTGGGCTCTGGCATACTGTGCACAAAGGTTAGTTTGCAGCTGTTGGAGGGAAGTGGGAGGGAAGGGAAGGCAAAGAAAAGAAAAGATGGTCTGGGGAAGCAATTTAGCTTCCTAAAGTTGTCTTTAAAGTTTGGCTGATTGATTGTTTTTTGCTGAAAGTGTGAAACTGTTCTGCATACAGTTTCTGTCAAACACTAAACTTGGAAACATTCCTTTTTTCTTTTTAGTGTCACCCAAGTGGTGCTCTGTTCTGGTAAGCATTACTATGCTTTGGTGAAGCAAAGAGAGATGCTAGGAGAGAAACAGCACAACACAGCTATTCTGAGACTTGAAGAACTGTGTCCTTTCCCCCTGGAACCTCTACAGCAAGAGTTGAGCAAATACAGCCGTGTGAAAGGTCAGCCAGGTTTTTACCTTTTTGTTTCTAGACTCTTGGAAGTAATGAACTAAATCTGTTGCCTGCCTTTTAGGATGAAGGCTTGTAGTGGCTTTTTCCTCTTTGCTCTTCCACTTCTGCTAAAAGAACTTGACTCTGCTATTGTTAGCTTCCATAAAGCGCTACTAAAAATCAGAGTGAACCATTTGGGGCATTTTTGCATTGGTCTTTGCAGTCCAGTCCTTTAAGTACCTTTTGAAAACGTTAGTAGGAAAGCAGAATATACCCACAGCATACCATAATGGTGGACATACTTTTGGTTTGACTTAAGCAAGCTGTGACCTGCAAGGTAATTCAATCTGGCAAGCTTTCATTTCAAAGGTAGTGCTGAGACAAAAGAGGCAAAGGTGCTACAAAAGAAAAAGCTGTTTTACTTGAGCTGCTGAAAAGATAAATCTGTGCATTTGTAATAGACCTTTATCCTTCCTGTAGTCTTCATCTGGAGTCAGGAAGAACCACAGAACATGGGTCCATGGTCCTTTGTGTCACCACGGTTTGAAAAGCAGCTGGGTGTTAAGGTAAGTTATCCCCATGGTGTTTTAGTCTTTAAAATGAAGTTTGAAGTTCTCCTCGAACACAAAATTCTGTGACGCTTAACACAAAAGACTCATCTTCATGCCTCAACCAAATCTGTGTTCTAATTTAAGCTACTTAGCTCTTTATAGTGGTGATGAGCAGGACTGGAACTTTCTTTCACCAGGGGTTCAGTCTAAATAGACAGGATCATGAAAGAGCCCAGGTAGGAAACAACATATTTGATGTGAGTGGGAGGAGAATCCAAAGCTGCTCTTTACTTGGGCAGATCGAGCACTGTAATGTCCTTGGAGCCATGGTCATCCTGCATTACCTCCAGCTGGGACTGCCCAGTATCTGACAGTAGATACCACCATGGCATCAGAGGCCCTCAAGATGGGATCCTGTGCTTGTGCTTCATTAATCATTTCCTCCTGACTCAAATTTCAGCTCCGTCTTGTGAGTAGACCTCCTTTACCAGCCCCAGCAGTTGGCATTGGAACCCTACACCACCAGCAGCAGGAAGACATTCTTACCAACACATTTATCTAAGTTTTCAACGGATGGACTACTGCTCCTATGAAGAACAAAACCCAGACCCTTAAGACTCTTAGTTCTCCAAAATGGGAAAAAAGAATCGAACAAGTTCTGTAATGATGAAGCAATTTTTTCATGTAGGAGGATACCTAAAGATGAGGGGTGATGCCTGTTACTCTAGACACTTCTTGTTCTCTTGTAGTATTTTATACAAAACATGTTTTTAAAGCTAAAAAAAAAAATAATCCAGTCCAAGGGGCAGATCTGTGAAGTGGCTATAAAATATGTTGTATCACATTGCTTATCTGCACTTCACAGTTCCCTGGGATGGTGCCCGTGTGCAAACAATTTCTGTTTCCACAGAACTGTTAGTGGTGTTTGGTTGAATAAATGCTTCCTCATGCCTGGGAATGAGCCATTTCTATAGCAGAGTGGTGTGGATTTTCTCATGTCTTTTCCTATGGGCCAGGAACGAAATCTGTTGCAGCTGTTGGTGCTCTTCTCAGCACATGCGTTGTTAAAGCAAAATTCCTGGGAGGACCTTGCAGAATGGTTCCTGAAAGCTTCAGGCACCCCTGTTTCTCTTGCCTGGAGAAGCAGTGCTTTCACATTAAGCTTGCAGCGTGGAAGGTGTGCTGCAGGGATCATGCCATACTTAGAACCATATTTTGTAGAACCCAAACTAGTTTCTGGAGGCTAGCCTGAAGAGTGACACTACTTCCTACCTGGGAAATTCTTCTTAGTGTCCTCCTGGTTTGTTGTTTGGGTTTTTTTTTTTTTTTAACCCAAGACTGTACTGTTACATCACTCCGTTGCTTCAGTCTTCCGCGTTGACAACGAACATTTAACTTCTTACTAGTAAAGCCAAAGGAAAGTGCATTTAAGAAACTCTTTTCCAATCCCAGGCTGTTTCACCGGTTCTCAGGAACGTGGCCTGTTTACGAGGGCTCACTTCTGTTTGGTTTCTTCCTTCAGTGGTCCTTAGTTCTCACACAAAATCTTGCTTGCACCAGAAGAAGGCCGAAGCTGTGACCAAGTAAGAGCAACAGAAGAGTCCAAAACTGTGGCAAGCTAAACAGAAAAGTGCAATAAGGCAGGCTGCAAATAGTTTGAGGGACGATGTGCTGAAAGTTGTAATGGTGAGGCCTCTTTCAAGTACACCAGTAACTGGAGGGGCGAGAGGCGGGAGAATTAGGAGGTCAAAGAGACTTAGTGAAAAAAAAATCTTAGCTTTTCGAGGTTTTGTTTTTTCGTTGGAGGAGGTTCTCAGCTGGAGGCCTGTTGGGAGGTTCCAGAGCAAAAACTTCTTTGTGGTGTAGGTATCACAGACTTTATCTTGAAAAAAATGTGTTAATAAAACAGGTTATAGAAGAAATCAGTGAAAGGAAGAGCAGCAAATGACAAAACAGGAGGTAATCAGCCAGGTTTTCTAAAGGAGCTCAAACAGATACAGGTATTCAAGCCATTTGAAGAAGTTCCCAAAATACACCTTTGCTTTAGCAACAAGACGAGGTGAGCAGGAGGGGACAGTGACTAAAAGGAGTTCAGCTTTAGCCCTCACAACCAAGGAGTGACCTCAGGTGTTCCCCTTCTCCCTGCTTCTCCTGAGGGCTCTGAGAGGACTTCTCCTGAATCCCATCTTCTCCTTCCATCATGAATTCTTGTGACCAAAACATTGAGATTAAGCAGGAGAATAATGAAGCCAGATGGCAGAAGGAGGTAAAAGCTGCCCAGGCAGACCCCCATGCTGACTGCCCTCCTGCTCCCCCACAGCAGCTCTCCCATCACCACAGGATTTTTCCCAGCATTTTTTCTTTTCCGGTCTAGTTGTCATTGTGAAGATGGCACCTCCTTACTCCTCCCAAGCTTATCTAGGGGAACGTGCTTGAATTAAATCACACCCACCACGAGCCAAAGACCTTTTTGAAAAGAAACAAGTGGGGTTTAACCAAATCCAGCACTTCCAGGTGGGAAGTCATAGTAGGTGAGGAAGAGCAGATCACAGGCAGGGTGTGCATTCACCTGAGGAAACAGCTCCCAAAAGCATCTCTGAAGCCTACTTTGGTATTTTACCCTAATTAATTCCCACATTAATTCATGAACTCTGTATGACCCAGAAGTAACCTCTGTAATCTGTTCGGTATGTTTTACATGACTTCTTTAGCACATCCATCGCAGTGACATGAAATCATGTTTCTTCCACTTTGTTCTAGCAAACTTCACAACTTGTTAAGCATTCTGAGCAGCATCATCTAGTCAAGACATATCCCGGTTGAAGTTTTTCCTCACAGACTTCTAAGGATTTCTTGCCATGGTCCTATGGCAGTAGACTCTTCTAGTTAGAAATCACCTTTCCTGAGAATGGCTGGAGCTGTGCCTGTCCTTTACTTCCTGCTGGTTTTAACCATGGATATTATCTACTAACAGCAGCTGTTCTTTCACAGGGACGTGGTTACACTTTGGATATAATACTTGAGGTGTATACTTCAGTTTGTTGGACACTGCCCAAACAGGCACTTGTGTCATGCTCGGTACTTTTGTACAATTTATCTCGTGATGCTCACAAAGAACTTCTACATCACTAACTAGAAAAAGGAGTTCAAAGAGTAACACTTGCTTTGGCTGCAGCTGTAGCTAAGGAAGTTGTAGAGCACAATCATCAGCCTTGATTCCAAGTTGGTGATTACATAAAATCACATTTTTTTTTCCACAACGACAATACGCACAAAGGAAGAACAGACCCAGTATGTTGAGTTTTATGTGGCCTGAACATTATGTGGCCACATTATGTGGCTCTGTTCAGAGCCTGTTTTACACTCCCGTGGGGGGAAGAGACAGCTATTTCTGTAGCGCTGCTCAGCTAAATTCCTCCAGCCCAGCGCTGCACTGCTGTGGAGCCCCTCAAGGGTGCTGGGGTAAGGAAGGGAGAGCTTCAACACAGCTCTCCTTGGTTTTGCTGATGCAGATTTGCCTGCAGAGTACTCCTCTTTTGTGATGGCTAATGGCTACTGGGAGCAAGACCTTAACATGAGTTAGTGGTTAATGCCATTTCTGCCACCACTTTTGGATGCGCACAAGGCTGTGTTCAGTCTGCATGCTGTGCCCTGCATGCAGACTTGGCTCTCCCTGTGTGAGTGCTGGATTCCTTTTGCAAAAAAGCATTTTGGAAAAAAGTAGAAATTGCAAAAGCTGCAGAGGAGGGAGCCACTTAAAAATGGGAATGAGTTTCCTATATGTGCAGGAAGCTTCATTCAGGAAAATGCCAGATATGGCATATAAGTTGGGTGAGTAGGTAACAGTGCAGGTCCCAGTCCTTGGACAGAAGAATTTTGTGAGTCATTAAAACAAGCAGAAGTGAAGCTTTATGTGCTGTTAGATAGCAAAAAAGCTAACTAACTAGAATGTTAGCTAACTTGTGCATCATGGGCTGTGGGCTGAGATGCAGAAGTGATGATAGAAGTTGTGGATGAATGTTCAGGATTTTCAGAGAAAAGTCCAAGACGACAAAAAAAAAGTAAAGGCATTGAAGGAATGAGACG